GGGCATGATGGTGCACTCCTATTTCCCAGCACTTGGGAGGCTTCGAGAGGGGCTGGGAGGGAGGGAGGGAGAGGGAGAGAGGGGGGGAGAGAGAGAGAGAGAGAGAGACACACACACACACCATGAAAATATGTTAAGAGACATGGAAATTGTGTACAATTAGAGTCCCAGAAAGGATGGAAAAGAATGGAGAATAGTGTTTGAGAACTGATGAATTCAACAATCTAGAGTCAAGAAAACAAAGAAAATTAAGAATGAAAAAAAAAATCACTTACATTCTTCATAGTGGAACCATACAAAACTAAAGACAAAAAGAAAAACCTTAAATATAGATAGAGAGGACAGATTACATTTCAAGATTACTTTCAAAATTGAAATTGTAACTAGGGAAGCCAGAAGACAATGTAATGATACTGAAAAAAATGCAGAAGAAAAAATTGTAAATTTAGAAATATATCAGTGAACCAGTCTTAGTGGTGCATGCCTATAATCCTAGCTACTGAGGCAGGAGGATAGCAAGTTCAAGAGATTCTGTCTCAAAAAAAAAAAAAAAAAGAAAGAAAAAGACAAAACTCCAGGATGTAGCTCAACCAAAAGCCCTGGATTCAGTCCTTAGTCAAAAACAGGTACACAGAAAGCAAAAGAAATGTGGGTCCCGGGGATTTAGCTCAGTGGTTTTGCTGCCTGCTGCACAAGCGCAAGGACCCGAGTTTGATCCCTAGTACCAAAAAAAAAAAAAAAAAAGAAATGTATCAGTGAAAATATTTTTAAATAATGAGGGTGAAATATATTCCCACTCAAACAAAAAGTGAGAGAATATGTCAGGAAATATAGCACATATTTTAGGCAAAAGTAAAGATATCCTAGAAAGTTATAAGGTAAAAACAAGAAAGGAAGAGCAAATTAATGTCAATGTTCTAGGTAAATCGAAACAAACACTGTACAGATATTCCTTGTTTAACAATGTACCTGTTTAACGACCGTTTGGACTAATAACTAAAGCCTGCTATTCAGACTTACGATCTGCTGCTGGGCCTTAGACCCATTTTTTTTGGTACAGTTCTATACATCTTGTTTATAGAACTTCAGTGTCTTTTTTTGTACAGTACACCTTGTTTATATAGTACTGTAATTTTTGCTGATTGGACTGTGGTTTTAAGTTCTGTTATACATTACAGTACTGCATGTAAGAGTTATGCAAATAAAAGCAAAATCATCAAGTTGAGGTTTCCTTTGACCATTTCTTTGTTCTAAATATTGTAATATACATACTATATACAATTTTTCATTTAGCAACCAATTCATTTAATGACCTAGTTGCAGGAATGGAACTTGGTTGTTAAACAAGGAATGTATGTATAAAAAATTCATAATGTATTGCTGTTTTGAAAGAGGTTTTGAAGTTCCTTGTGTTCCTGGAAGAAGGTGGATATACTGGTGAACTCTGGATTTAATCAGAATTGCTTATTAGAAGCTGCACATGGTGGCACGTACCTTTAATTCCAGCACTCTAGAGGTTGAGGCAGGAGGATCATCTTGAGTTCAAGACCACCTTGGGCTACATGGCGAGCTCAAGGCCAATCTGGAAGACATAGCGAGCCCGTCTCTAAACTAATTCAAAAGCCCCCCCAAACCCAAATAAGCAAACAACAACAAAGCAAATTGCCTGTTAGAATTTTTAAGATACTTACCAAATGATCAGAGCACATAACTTCCAAATCAGAAGGTTAATGGGGAGAAGGGTGGCCAGAAATAAAAGCATAAAAATTACAAGAAACAAAAGAGAAAGAAAAAGAAACACATAGATTAGGAGAAACTAATGGGAAACAGCATTAAGTGGCAGAAATAAATTCAAATTAATCAGCAATTATAATAGATGCAAATGGTCTAAAAGCTCAATCTAAGAGCTAAAGATAAATAAACTGGAGTCAAATCCAAAATTAATATCAGTTTGATCCAAAACATAACAATTTGGAAAGCTTATAAAAAGATGGAAAGAGATTAAAATCATGCAAATACTATTCAGAAGAAAACAGTTTAGCATCAAAGGCCAAAGAAAGTCACAACATAGTGATAAATGGCTCAATTCACCCAGTAGATATAATAAATTTCTCTCTATATCATGGATACAAACTATATAAGGAAAAGAATGTCAGAACTGTAACTTGAAATGCAGACATCTACCAACATATTAGGATATCTTATTTTACTTCTCATTAATTGAATTGTGTGATGCAAATTTAGTCACAGAATATGTCAACAACACACTATCAAGGTCAGATTTTTAGAATAGTGTACCCACAGTCTACGGCCATACCACCCTGAACACGCCCGATCTCCTCTGATCTCAGAAGCTAAGCAGGGTCGGGCCTGGTTAGTACTTGGATGGGAGAATACTGTACCCACAAATGTTAGAACATACATTCTTTTCTTTCTTGTGGTGCTGAAGATGGAACCCAGGGCCTTGCATATGCTAAACAAGTGCTATGTCACTGATCTACACCGCTGGCTCCACAGTGTATTTTACAAATCCACACAAAAAATTTAAAATAATTTGCCAAATACTTATAACTTTTAGACCATACTCTTATGGTTCTGAAAAATGTGTTATCAATTGTCAAGTAGGAAATATTATTCCTGAAATGTGATCTTGGGAAGATCATATACGAATTTGAAGATCTAATACCAATTTGAAAGTTTTCCCTTTGTACCCTTCTCTATTAGTCATGGTGCTATGGCTTATGTCTAGATGTCCCCCCAAAGCCTCATGCTTTTTCAGAGGTGGCTGAATCCAGAGTGTGTGATTGATTCATGGTGCAATTCGAGAATTAAAGGTGCTAGGATTAAGGTCGTGAGTGCTACTCGCCCTAATAGTCTGAATAAGATAAAAGGAGCAGAGAGACTCTGTTAAGGTCCCTTGTTGCTTTTGCTACTTTGTGGGTGCCATGAACTGCTTCTCCTCTGTGACTCTCCTTCGTCACGTGACACTCTGTCTTAGAGCCAGCTGATTATGGACTGAAACCTCTGCAAACTGTGAGCTAAATAAACCCTTTCCCCTTTAACTGCGGGTGTTAGGTATTTTGTCTCAGCAATGAGAGAAAAGTAACTAAGACACATGATAATTCTACATTAAATGGGTATTACCAAAATTTTATCCCTGGTTTCAATAAATGTACTATCAAGATGAGAGTATACTAAATGCTTTTTCCAGTAATTTTTAACAAATTATGTATATATCTCATGTCCACCTGTGTTTCTAAATCTTGTACCTCAGTAATACCAGAATAGATAAAGCCCTTCATTATTGCCCCCCCAAAAGTAGTTTAAAAGTATTTTCTTTGAGGTGTGCAAATGTGGTATTTTTCTCTCCATATACTTGACATAAATTGAATAACAATTTATAGTATGCAGGGATTTGGTTGGAGAAAACAATGGTATTATCATTTTCTCATCCCAAATCAAAAAGTCATGATATAGGCACCCTAGGTAGGGTTCTTTTTGTTGCAGAATTGTTAATTATAATGAAAGGAGAAGTCCAAAAGATTTAGTAATTTTTGGAGCAGAAGTGGGTTTTAGTTTACAGAATTTATTTCAATGCTTTGTAGTATGGTAACTTCTTAGGCAGAAAAAGCCTTACTTGGGAAACACAAATATATGTGATGTGGTTGACATAACTGTGAAACTGAAATTGACAGAATAATATCTAAAAAGAGCACACAAATTGATAGAACTTTAAAAGTTTAACATCACACCGTTCACATGATAAGCAACTGATTAATTCCCATTTTACAAATGTAGGAACTGAGAAACTGAAGTTAAACATCTCAACCCAAGTCAAGTTATGACACCACACACTAGGCTAAACTATAACTTCTTTTTGCTTTTCATATGTGGTGTCCTCATTTTAGAATAGGAGGTCTGCGGCTATGCAATGTGTCCTGTCTGCTTGATCAAGTAACACCATCTTTGGCAAGAACGTTTAAGGTCACTGTAACTGAGTTTAGCTTTAGGTTTTCTGATTCTAAGTTCTTTTTTTTTAACTTCCCAGACTCCTGGTCTGACCTTTATGTCTCATGACTCATATCACTTGGCTGTCCTCGCATCCTCTTACCTTCTGTGCGAATACAGACTGACACTGGCCCCATTTGGATGAAAGTCAGTGGAGCCATGTTTCATGGTGGGAGAGAGAAGGCCGTCCTCAGAAGATGTCCTTAACAGTCCAGTCCTGGACAATCTTTTGAATGTCCGTTGTAAGACTTTTTCTTCATCTCAGTCCATCCCAACTGTAAGGCAACAGAGTAGAGGAAGAGGTAGTAAGAATAATAAACAGTCAGCATCAGCTAGACCTGGTTTTAAGTCCAGTCGTATCATTACTCATTTCCTAGCCTGACCTCAGTTTCTTTATCTATGAAATGCGGATGAAGGCGTCCGTAACCCTGTGGCACGCTGTGCCAAGCACTGAGATGGCGCGCATAACTTTCACATGTGCCTTGTCGCTCTCTAAACCCCTCCCCGGCTCACTCTGCGCTGGTGCTCTCTCTGAGCTCCCCTAAACTGCCAGTCTAGAGAGGCCTGCCACCATGTGAACGTGCGGGAAAGTTTTCCTTGGCTATGCTGCAGCTGTGGAATGTATTCCCTCCCCGTAAGTGCAGGCAAGTGGAGCACTACCGTTTTGCTACTTGGCAGGATCGCTTAGCAGGTGCACTTGTCTGAACATTCCTGAATCCGGAGGGGGCAGCTCTGGATTTCAGAGAGTGGTAACCAGGCCACAGCTGGAGTGAGGCAGAAGCCAGGAGGAAGAACTTCAGCTCTGGGTTTGCAGCCTGAAAGGAAGGTACTCAAATTCAAGTGTACGTGAGGGTGAGGTGGCCAACACCGCAAGTCGAGGTACTTTTTCAGGTACTTCACTTTGGAAGGCTGTGGCCCGGACGGCCTGGAGTCCGGGGCGGACGCAGAAAGGAAGCTGGCCGGTCCAGCGCCAGGGACAGCGGAGCACCTTGCGTGCCGTCCGGGTTGCAGACCCGGGCCCGGCAGGCGCCGGTGCTGCCCCTCCGCGGCCGCCGGGACGCGGCGTGCCCGTCTAGGTCCCCTCCGCCGGCCGCGCGGCCCAGGTGGAGCGGCCGGGCGCGTCCCCGCGCGCCCCTTCCCCCTCCCGGCGACTTCCTGGTTTGCAGAAGGTGCAGGAGTCGCTCTGGGCGGCACCGGTCGCAGGAACTGAAGAGGCCTCCGCCCGGGTGGCGGCCGGGGAGACGGGGGCGGCCGCACGCGTGCTGCTGTCACAGAGAGGCCTCGGCGGGTGGGGCGGTGCGAGGCGGGCCGGCGCCGGGGGCGCCGCTACATGGGCCGGCCGCCTGCGCGGGCCTGAGCAGCCTCCTTCCCGGCGGCCGGCGGCCGGGGCGCGCGACCCTCGGCGGCGCAGCGCGGCGAGGCGAGGCGGGCGGCTGGCGCGCACAGCGACATGTAACCATGGACAGCAGGACCAAGTGAGTGGGCGGTGGGAGGCGCGGGGCACCGCCCCTCCCCGCCCCGCCGCCCCCGGCCCGGCTGCGGCGCGGCCCCCGCGACCCCGGCGGGAGAGGGCGACGCGCTAGGCCGCAAAGCCTGCCCGCCCGCGTCCCGGCGGCGGGGTCTGCGGCCCTGCCCGGCCCGGGGAGCGGGCGCCCGCGCCTCCCGCTGCGGTTTTCGGCTTCTTCCCCGGGTGTCAGACTCGCTCGTGCCCCCGTCTGTCTGTGTGTGGCGTTCCGGAGGGCGCAAGTCGGCGCGGAGGGGAAGCGGTTCTTACTTGAAATGCTCTCCTAGCATTAAGATTACCATTCCTTTTTTATGTGTATTTTTCAGTTCTGGCTGCGGTGCTTTCTACTGCTGTTCCTTCCTACGGGATTAAAATGATCTCTGATGTTTGTTTACGCAGGCACCATGTATATGTGTGGTGCTTGCAGATCGGTGTCCAGTTAGACGATATTTTTGCGTGTGTGCTAAAGTATTTGTCAATGGCTGTTTTACTTGTTTTAGGAGATAGGTAAAAAGCAGTTTGAATAGTGGTGGTGATTTTGCTTCTAGGTATCTTAGAGGCATGGGTTTTTATTTTTCTTCTGCAACTCACTTTGGAAAGAATTCTTTCTTACCCCCCTTCTTCAAATCTACTCCCCCCATTTAAAATAATATCATGTGCATTTGTATTACTGTGGAAAGACTTTTCAGTATAGAACTGTAACTGATCTGGTATTTAACTTTTACACCTAAGAGAGATTCCAGAGAACATTAGGAAAATGAGAAAAATATGTAATTTAGAATTATTTTCTTCTGTGTTTCAAACCATGGTGGGCAGAATGAATAAAAAGGGATACTTTTGACATTCATTGTATTATGAGGGAAGGAGTCACCTGAGTTCACCTTATTCCTAGTAAAACAATAGTGGGAGGGGCGAGGATAGGCAAATTAATTTATATGGCTTGTCATTTCCTTCTGTTTTTAGATGCATGTCTTGTAATATATATATTTTTAAAAATCAATGTTTAGTTAGAAGTCAGCTAGCATGAATTTCTTGAAAGACGTACATATTTAAAAAATCACCAATGTACAGAGGCACTAAGGCAGGGATATACAGTAGCTGAGATATGTGTGTTGACAATTTGGCATTGTGGTGATAGGCTCTGTTTAGTCAGGTATCTTCTAATGCAAAGACAAATTAAAACAGAGCTATGTTTAAAGAAAAGTTTTTAAATGGCTTTCTGCTCGCTTTTTTTTTTGTACGGGAGATGGAACTCGGGACCTTCCACTTGCAAGGCAGGCGGCAGAGCCACTGAGCTAAATCCCCAGCCCTCTGCTCACTTTTTGAAATTCAGCCAATGAATAGATTGTGGGAGAAGTTAGTAAAAGTTAGTAAGTTTAAATGGAGAAGCAAAGGAACTTTCCCATTACTAGTGGGAAAATGTAATGTCGAGGCAAATGTCTCATTTCCCCAAAGATGTTGGTGTTAAATCTTTTTTCATTGGCCTTGGGGTGTGCAAACAGTATGTTACACATGCTTAAACACATTAAATAGATCTCAAGAAAACTGTGTGAAAAATATGCATTCATGCCGCATTTAAATGTCATGTAGTGATCCAAGATCATGGCAGGTAGACCCACATATTCATTATTTACCTTTATTGCAAGTCCTGGGAAGAAGCTTGAAAAGCCTGTGTTAGGCTGTGACAGGGTAAAAAGGCACTTAGGGATGTACTGGCTGTCCTATTTTGATCCAATAAGATGAAAGCAATGTTTACATTTCTATCACACGTAATACTTAAAAAAATACTTGCACATGTATCATTTGATTTGTAATCATAATTATTCTGTGAAGTGGACAAGGTAGTGCTCTATAGGTGAGAACACAGTTGCAGAAGTTAAATGCTTTGCTTTAACTCTTAAGTTTCAGCTCTTTTAAATTGCTAAGCTGATAAAACACTTTCATTGTTATTTTTGCTATACTGTAGTCACAGTTACATGGAATGTATTGAGAAAAATACATTAACTTTAGAATTAAGAAGATATAGGGTCTGGAGGTCTAACTTAGTAGAGCACTTGCCTAGTATACATGAGTCCCTAGTTTGATCCCCAGCTCTGCAAAAAACAATATCAACAATAAGCCATATATTTATTGGTAGGCTTTGTAGAGATGCTTTTTTGTCATAGGAAATAAATGTAACCAAGTTTTTCTTTCTTTTTAGAGAAAATCCAGAAAGAACCTTTGACTTGGTATTGAAAGTGAAATGTCATGCCTCTGAAAAGGAAGGTACGTGTGTACTTTGGATTCTTAAAGTGCATCAACTGAGACTATCAAACAACTATTAATATTGTGGATGGCTGAAGCATGATAGTGTCAGGAAAATGATAGTACTAAATGTGTATTTTGCATAGAGTGTCTCAAGTTGCTTGTAATAAAATACACTCTGCTTTGCCCTGGGGTTGTAGAAATCATGAATGTTATCTGTACAGCTTGAATTTTAAGTGTATGTTAAGCCTGTATAACTTACAACTCAGTTTTATCCTTGGTTGAAGTTATCGTTAGCTCTGATGAAATGCCATGTCTTTTCATTTGTTTTCATTTGAGCTTGAGAATTTAACTCCCCTTTAAAAATTAGTGTAAATTCTCTGCCAGTACCAATGATGCTTTCACCAATTCCCTTGTAATGTTTCTGGAATGCAGAATAGAGACTGAGGAGCCCCTTCTGTTGGACTTACTCCAGTGGCCTAGCACTTTCCATGTGACATTGCCTGGAAGAGTTTCAGCTGCCAGTTCTGTACAATTTCCTGAAAGGTCAAGAGTACTTTAGTATTGGGACTTTTGTTGCCTGCCCCCCCCCCCATATTGTACATATGTGTGTTCTATTCAGGGATGAGGAATAGCTCTTTCATATGTCCATGTATGAGATATATCTTCATGGATATCTCTGGTGTATGACTTTATTTACAGTGTACTTAGACCCTAGATAGCATGGTGATTAACTCTGGGATTCTGTGGAAACTACTAGTTGACTGTCCTAAAGACTTGATGGAAAGTCAGCTGACACTCTTAGACCTAGAAAACAGCTAGCAATTATATACTCTTAAGTAATTTGGAGCTGAACACCTTAATATAGAGGATCCCAACCCACTTGTGGTGAAATGGGCATGGCTAATTTTAGGTAGGAAGTCACACGCATTCTTGGCTCCACCACCTCTGCCTGCTGTACTTCGGGCCTATTTGAACTACAGCTATGATCAAGTTTGTCTACTGGCAAGGAGTAAGTAAACTTAAACCTCCTTCCAGGGCCTCTTCCCAGTAAACAGGTTGGCTTTGTTGTACAATAAAGTTTGTCCATTTGCCTTCTTCCCAAGCCTAACCAAATCCTCTTCACCGAATGGATACATTATGTTGAATGGATGTATTATTTTTCAGCTCCCATTTAAATCTATAGTATATTTATGATATGAGTTGATCTTAAAAATATCTACCACACCATTACCTAAGATGTTTGAAATAATAATCACCTAAAGGGTTTGTAAAGCAGGCTCAATTAATTTGGAAAAGGTGGAATCTCTATGATTTTAGATGGATGATTTTTAAAGCATGAAGTGATCTTGATAAAAGGATGAATCTTGTTCCGCCGCCTGCCTCGAAAGCACAAGGTCCTGAGTTCGATCGCTGGTACCAAAACAAAAAAACAAAGATAAAAGGGTGAATCTGCCCTATATACCCTTATAAATGGTCTATGCACTTGTCAGAGAGATTGTAACCATCTCATAAAGACATTTGAGACTTTTGGTTTACTCCTTCCTTTCCTGTACCCTTTTCCACTTTTCAATCTAGTATTTCATCTTAGTATGAATTTTCTCTTTCTGCTTTTTTATCTTCCTGTCTTTTTGCTGTTGTTATTGTTTAAATCATTACTTTTTGGAAACATCTTCATTCATGTTTTAATAGTTTATTCTGGTAAAGGTGGGAGTATAATAAATGGATAAAATAAACAATTTTGACTTCTTTGTAGGTTGCAGTTAAAAAAAAATTACATTCAACCATGTAAAAAACATGATTTCTTCTTTTGATTGTAACTTAATATGAACATAATGAATATTTTAGGGTCTGACAATTTATATTTTTTGTGCTCTAAAAAGTAATGCTATCTGTAACTAAGAGGGTCATAAAAGTAAAATTTTATATCAAATTGAGAGTTTAATGTTTCTATAATATTTAAATATAATATAATGCAATGATATTAGTTAAAAATTAATTGTAGAACTCCATTGTAACCATCAATAATCTAATGAGATTGATATATATAGTGGCTTGTTTGAAGTAAGAATTTTTTTGATAACATTTAAATGAGCATGGATGAAATTCTTACACAGTAATAATCTTTGGAAATAAAAATGTATAAATTGGAATGTTTTGGGATACAAATACAAAACTGATTTAAATACTAGGGAATCTTGATAGTTCGTAGAAGCAGCAGCCCAGAGGTGGCTCATCAGTGATCAGAGTTCTTTCTGCATCTTAGCTCTGCCACTTACAAAATTGTGTTATTAAAAGGTATAGATTTCTTACAGTCCTGACTGTAGATGTTAGAAATCTGCTTTCTTTTTTAGGACTGTGGGGGTGACAGACGCTAGCTTTTCATGGTTCTGTCTTTAGGAAATTTCCTTCTTCAAATTCCCCAGAAAACCTCTTAGATGTCTGTGGCCTCAGTTGTCATGGGCATGACCATTCCTAGCAGTGACTGGAGGGTCGTACTGGAGGGGCTGTGGCAAGATTGTCGTGATTGAGTTACTAAACAGTTGGCAAGGAGTACATGTTAGGAAGTCAATTAAAAGATTTCTCATAACATGTATTGTTTGATGGCAGTTTGATCAAACAGGAAATATGCTCAGGCTAAACTTGCTTTATACTAAGATTGAAACATCTTCAGTCTTCATGTTAAGATATTTGGCATGCTTCTCTTGTTTATTTTTGTTGCTCATTGTTTAATAAAGAAGTTTTAAATTCTTTTGTTTATCCTGGATAACTGTCTTCAGAGATACATTATTATTAACTGTGTTTTTTTTTTTCCCCTGTGGTACCTGGTGGATCGAACTCAGGACCTTGTGCTTGCGAGGTAGCAGTGGAACCACTGAGCTAAATCCCTGGCCCTATTAACTTGTTTTAGTTAGTAGTGTGAAATGTCATTGGCTGTCAATATAAAACTTGATACAGCTAGCTATGGTACAGTTATCTTTATCTGATCTATTGCTATTTGGACTTGTTTCATAGGCATTAAATTGATATTTCCAAACACAACACATTTTAGAACACTCTGGAAAATAACAGCTTCATAGGTAGTATTGCACAAACTTAAAAGATTTCTATGAGAGGGCTTGGCAGTGTCTCTCTGTCATGTCCCCTGTGTTAGTGGAAATGGTTCTGGTTGTGTCTGGCAGACTGGTTGTGGCATCTTTCACTGGAAGTTTTCCTGGCAAGACAATTTTCCAGTAACTTGCACTCCACCTGCCTAGAGGGAAGGGCCAAAATGTAGATCGTAGCGCTCTTCCTGCTAGGTCTCCAGGCTTTGCTGCTGTTGCTTCTCTGTTTGCTGTTTCTTCCTTCCCAGTGGCAGGGAAGTGTAGCCAGCAGCTTGACCTGTTCTCAATTCTAATGACAGAACTTACTGTTACCATACTGCCTGGCTTTCCCGAGGTGATTCAAATCTTTAGGGAAATGAAAAGTAACCTTCTCTCAGAAGAATGGTGATGCCTTCTCTCAGGGTTTCTCTTTAGGCAGCTGCTTTGGTACTTAAGGTTTTTATTTTATTTTGTTGATAGCTCAGTACAGGTAGTAGGAGCAGTAGCAGCTGAGGCAGGTAAAATCTGGGGATTTTTATTGTACCAACTGTGTAAGCCTCACAGAAACTTTATAGGAAATCTTTAGGTCCATTTTGGATGTGAAAAAACTGAAGCACAGAGAAATTAAGAATATGGCTCCAGAGATGATATTTAATCATTATACCTCTCATTGCGTAGTGACCTGACATAGGCTCTGTATAGGATGTTTTATCTTGTGAGGGAATATTTGAGTATAAATGACATATGGTGCAGGTAATTTAAAAAAAATTAAGGTAGTATGTTCTTTCACATTAATGAACCCAATAAAATTCCACTTACAACAATTACTGAAGTTTTTATGGTTATAGACCCTAACTCAGCAGAGTAGACCCTACTCTTCTTTTATAGAATTTATATCTCCATATTTAATGAATCTTTGGTTTACCACTTATATTAATTCTATTAATTAGTAGTTTTCTATTAATTAGTAGTTTTAAGCATATCCTTAGTAAATCTTGTTTTCTTCATTTCTTTCTCTTTGCTTAGAATACTTTCTCTTGGGTACAAATCCCTCTTTGTAACAGACTTTCCACTTTGATTATCTCATCTAATTTGGTATCAAATTATCCATCCTTTTTTCCCCTAACTCTCCGGCTCATGTTAGCAGTTTATGGACTTTTACTTTTTTTTTTTTTTTAAACAAAACCTTAAACCAAAGAATTCTTAGTATCCCTCATGCCCTGCAAAAAAGGTATTTCTAAGGCTACTTTTGCATTTGATAACATTTTCACTATAGTGATATTATTTACACTAGAATCCACAGCATTTTGCTTCTGCTTGTATTTTAGCATTTGCTGTGTTCTTGCAGGTTCATATGATTTAGTCATGTATAGTCATCTACATAGCATGACTAGATGCCTGCTCTGCTTGTAAGCTCCTCATGTGCCACATTAATTCATAACCTTAAGAAAAAGCTTACCACAGCGTCTGATACATTTAATTAATATTGAGAGAATGACAAAGGAAAGGAAACTGGACCTTATAGCTGGCCATTGAGTTATCAAATGGTGATTAAACTAATTCACAGAGCTGCCTGTAGAAGTGATCTTAAAGGCATGCTGGCATGACAGGAGGAGAGATTAGAAATATATAAGGGATGGTTGAAAAAATATGGTGAATGTTGAAATTTTAAAAAAATTATTATAGTAAAAGACACATTGTCCTTAAAACCTCTCAAGAATACTCCCCTTTGCTTTGAGCACACTTCCCCAGTTGTTCTTGCCACTTTCTGAAGCAGTTCTGGAAGTCCTCTTTTGTGAATGTCTTTAGTTGCACTGTCATGACTGCTTCAATGTCCTGAATTGATTCAAAATGTTTAATTTTCATGGTCACCTTGACTTTGAGGAAGAATGAGAAGTCTCATGGTCTCAGACCTGGTGAATAAGGTGGATGACTCAT